TTGCTTGCGTTGTGTGCGAATGAGGCCTTAAATGTCATTTGAAAACTGGGATTAACCATCTGACATCCGGCCATTGTAATTAGAGGGCCCAATTGTGGCTTCCTGGATGCGGGGGAATTTCCCTAGGTGACATTAGGGGTCTTGAAGACCCCTGATGTCTCCATAAAGAGGACCTGTCAGTGTAAATTGGCTATCACATTGGGGGCTTCTCAGCCCCCAAGTGATAGCAATAAAGTTAATTGTCAAAAAAGAAAAGCATAAAAAAAATGAAAGTCAAATAAAAAAAGTTAACATGACATATAAAAAATGTTTTAAAACAACACAAAGTCCCCACCTCCTCATGGAAACACAAACGTGTCAGGTGTGCCTACATGCGAAGATGACGATTGCACCGCACATGTTACATATCACCACGAACATCGGAGTGTGAGCAATAATTTTAGGGCCATTAATCACTGATTACACTAAACGGATGAGCGGTAAAAGCTTTCAAAGCGTCGCCTGTGGCCAATTTTGGGTATGGTAGTTTTTTGCGATTTCATGGGCGCATGCAATTTTAAGGCTTGACATGTTTGGTGTCTATTCACCCAACATGACCCAGTCTTTTATATTTTACCCAAAAATATGGATAATAATAAATGTTTCATAACATAATAAAGGAAAAACAGTTTTGTTTATATAGTAAATAAATAAAAACCCCAGTGGTGATTAAATGACACTTAAGGCTTTTACCCATAGTTCTCCTTAGGGTAACGGGAGGACACAAACAAGCGTCCTCCCGTCACCCTAGGCTCAGTATACCGCGAGCTGTAGCTCGCGGTATGCTGAGACGCCGCAGTATACCGAGAGCAGCTGCTCGCGGTATACTGAGACGCCGCAGCTGAAGCGGATCCCGACGATTATGCCGGGATCCGCCCAGCTGCGTGACTGACAGCTGGCTCTGCCTATCTAAAGGCAGAGCCAGCTGTACCCGCCCCCTCCCCCGTCCGTTCCGCCAGTCAGCGCTGGCAGGTCGGAGAGGGGGGAATCCAGCCCCTCCACTGTCACGGCACAGAGCCGTGACAGGATCGAGAGGTGAGCGAACACCGGTATGTGTTCGCTCACCTCCCGATCTACTGAGCCGACCTGTGACAGTCTCATTGTCACAGGTCGGCTAGAACTATGAGGTGAGTGAAAAGCACTCACCTCATAGTTCTCCTTTAAGTCGTGTGTGACTGATTTCAGGCATACATCGGCTAAAATCAGCCGTACATTGGCCGCCTTCGGTTAGCCGAACATGCTCTGCTCAACATCTGGATCGGCTGAGCCGAAGCTCCGGCAGCTCACTCGCTGCTGATCGCCCGTATTCTCATAGGGGCCGAACGGTAGTGAGTGAATAGCCGAATGCCGTTGCTATTCTGCTCGGTACGTTCAAGGTACCGAGCAGAATAGATAATAAGGGAAAAGAATTTAAAAAAATAAAAAAGTTGAAAAATTATTTAAAAAATGTAAAAAAAAATAGGAAAAGAAGAAAAAATATTTCAAAGAAAATTTAAAAAAAACGTTGCACGCCAAACTGACCACATGCGACAGACTCCCACAGCATAATCAAGCATCTGACAGATGCCGGCAAATTAAAAAGAATTGGGCGGAGATAGCGGTGACAGCTAGCTCTGCCAAACTGTTTCCTATTGGCCGGTACCTGCCAGAGTCTTCTAGCAGGTGCCGGCTAATGAATAACAACTGGGCAGAGCCGGGCCGTGATGTCACGGCCAGCTCCGCCCAGTTATTGTTTAATGACAGATCAGCGTACCCAGGTCATTTGAGACGCTGATCTGTCATTACAACTGGGCAGAGCGAGCTGCGAGTTCACGGATGGCTCCGCTCAGCTGTCATTTGCGTGAAGATCAGTTGGCTTCGGCTGACCTTTCTCCACGCTTCAGCTGTCACTTCAGCTCAGTCGAGCCGAAGCATATGCCTTCGGCTGCTGTACGGGGTATTGTCAATTGCCCGTACAGCAGCCCTTCGGTTCAACTGAACCGAGGGGCAGAGGCGGCCGAAGGATCGGCCGAAGCTAAGACTAGATCCTTCGGCTCTTAGTGAATAACCCCCTTAACGTTTTTGTCCATCGAGTTCACGTGTTAACTTAAAGCTTGTATTTCTGATGACTTAGTGTCATTCCCCTGAAAGAGTTTAAAGCTCTCTTCTCCACCTCCTCCATGTACAGGATAGCCACAATGAGAGATAAAGGTGATACCAAAGCATTGCCATGTTTCTGTGTATAGATGTTACCTTTGTACTTAAAATAGGTGGTGTTGAGTCTAAGGTCCAGCAAGGAACATATTTGGTCTGGTTTCATTTCTGTTTAACTGTCAAGAGTCTAGAAGAGAACGTGGACGTGACATCATAGGACACTGTTGTCTCTTCTGGTTCTACCTTCAGTCGACGTACCTTGTTGTCAAATTCTTTATGAAGTTCTTAATATGGTGTATTGCGTTTCCAACTACGGGTGACTGGATAGTAGCCAAATACTTAGCAATGTTATATGAGAGAGTTGACAGTGCTTACAGTCAGTCTTAGAGATGGTAGTACAAGGTCCAATTAAAAGGTTTTTACCTTTTCTAGCAGTTGTAAACAGTCTATCACCTATCTCTTGTAACAGCTAATCGGGTCCCTCTTTAGTGACTCAAGTGTTGATATCACAGAAAAGGGTGGTCACCTTAAAATAGTAATCAAATGTATTCATGACCATTGTGCATTTCCTCTTGTCTGCTGGCAGGAAGGTAATGCTTGGATCCCTACTAAGCGATGTAGGGAGCAATCGAGTGGGGTCAAGTTAGAAGGAGATGCTTGGGCACTAGACAGGATCGCTGAGACAGAGTTGTTCAGCCTCTTCTACTGATGGTGGATGTTAGGAATGGTAATTTCTGTAGCTGTGATGGTATCTACCACAGGGACACGTTGGGATGCCACAGCAAAGTTCAGTTGCTCATCCAAGACCTCCTTCTCTTGCTGAATAAACTAATACATGTATGCGCAAGCCAATAAGCTTGCTAATACATTTGAAAGGTTCTTTATCCACTGGCCTTATTGCTTTGGGGTGTTCAGCAATCATCCTTTCTCCTCCAGGTTAACTCCTTAGTTGTTATTGCTGGTCCATAGTAGCAAGTAGCTAGTTCTGTTATTGCTGGCCCGTAGCAGCAAATTGGTGAACTTGTTGATCTGTCTTTCCTTGCGTTGTGCCTGGTGTGTTAGGCTAGCTGAGCTCATTGTGTGAATACAAACATTCTTTTTGAGCCCTTTCTACATTTATAATGGTCCAATGACCTTTTACTGTGAAACTCCAGCGTAGACTGCTATAGGCAAGACCGTGATGTTGACATTTGATGATGAAACACAAGTGGTTCTTGTAATCTGAGTTTTCTTGCCCTTTTCTCAGATTCCCAAACCAGTTTAAGGGGTATACATCCCTAATTGATTGTATGTCTGTGAAGGTTCTCATTTATCCAGGTCATGATAGAGCTTCTTGTAGTTTGTCATATTCAACTGAGCTTGTTCTGGTACCCAGCATTTATAACCACAGGTTTGGATAGCAATGCTGTAGTATTTCCCTGCAGGTCGTCAGAATTGAAGAAGTGGCTAAGCAAGCTAAAAATGGTACATGCATGCGTTGCACTATTTTTTACGATTGCACCGCACTGGAACACAGGCATTGCCGTACCGCACGTTCTGGTGCGGGCAATTGTACTGTGGGTGGGAGGCGTGTCTGTGGTGCCATTGACATAAATGGCACCACCACGCCCCCCCTTACCGCCCCAGAACACAAAACGCTTGTTTTGGGTGATCCAGTGCGCTCCGGCAAGCACTGGATATGGTGTGAACCGGCCCCAAGTCATTGTCAGGGGTTGTACTGACAATTTAAGAAATAGTAAATATGTGGAAGTGTTACACTTACTCAGCATGCATACACATAACATGAAAAAATATGTCCGACCTTAGGCCTAAGATGTCATTTAGTGCTCCACAAAACACACCTCAGAGAAGATACTGGTACTCACAAACCAGAATAGTCCGCAATGTTTATTGAATAACGCTGGGTCACATACACAGAGAATGTCACAGGTCTGAGGTAGTTTTAAAATAAGGTGTGTCACCAAATAAAAACATATATAAACATGGGAAGGATCAATGACTTCTTTATTATTATTCATTTCGGATGAGAAATATGGAGTTTCACTGGTGACTGTTGTAATAAACCAAGAGCTAACGTGTGCAATAAGTACAAAAACAACCAAAATCATGCAATGATCCATCACCGAATATAATAATTAAACAAGAACATTACACATTTATTATGAATGGTGCATGTATGAATGTTATTGCATTTGTTTTTTTTAATTGTACATACTGATAAACTGAAAAAAAATACAATGGACTTGACATCTCAGAAAGTTAGATACCCCAAATTGCACTAAAACCATTAGGGGGAGTTTATCAAATCTGGAGCAGTTGCCCATAGTAACCAATTAGCTTCTCTCTTCAGTTTGTTCAGTTAAAGGAGAACTATGAGGTGAGTGCTTTTCACTCATCCTCATAGTTCTAGCTGACCTGTGACAATGAAACCGGCGTTCGCTCACTTCTCAATCCTGTCACGGCTCTCTGCGGTGACGGGGGAGGGGCTGGATTCCCCCCTCCGATCCGGCAGCACTGACTGGCGGAACGAACGGCGGAACTATGCCTCTAGATAGGCAGAGCCATCTATCAGTCACGCAGCTGGGCGGATCCAGACATAATTGTCGGGATCTGCTTCAGCGTCTCAGTATACCGCGAGCTGTAGCTCGCGGTATACTGAGCTTAGGGTAACGGGAGGATGCTAGTTTGTGTCCTCCCGTTACCCTTAGGAGAACTATGGGGAAAAGCCCAAACCCCACAGTTCTCCTTTAAGCTTTAGAAGAAAAAAAGAGAGATGCTGATTGGTTGCCAAAAACAGCTACTCTAGATTTTGTCTTCTCCAGTTTTGATAAGTTCCCCTCACTGTGTTTCTTCTACTCGGCTTATATTTCGATAGCAGTCTTCATACAAAAGGATAGAAGAAGAAAGAAAAAGTAAAATCTATTTAATTTACACAATGTTCAATCTAGTGTATTCCTGTGAATTAGAACTAAAACTTTGAGACTTCACTAGCTTTCTTTCACAAGCAGTCTGTTCCTGAAGATATTTGTCTGTGCATGCAGCTCGGGCCTGGAAAAGCTGAGGCTGCAACTCTATAAGGCGATCACTGGAAATTAGATCCCTGATAGTGCTCAAGCAAAGTTTGGTACCATAATTAGTTATTTTCAAAAAGGAATGAAGTCTACATTCGCTGACTGGGGACACCGTCACAGAGAGAACGCTAAGATACTGTAACAAGAGGTTTATAAAAAGGCATTAGGAGCATTGGTTGGCATGGACTGGTCTGGGTGCCTTGAGGCTGCAGGAATTGCCTGTATTATCAATACAGAGAGCAGACATACCAGCTGCTAATGCTCATTTACACATTGTTTAATTTAAGAATAAGTTATGCAACGGTCGGTGCCAGTCTGCTAACAAAAGCAATGCTGCTGAGAGACAGTCTTCTGACAAAGTCCGGACATGCTGGCTTCATAACTAGGTGCTCCAGGATAACCCTCAGCTCTGTGAACAGAGTCCTGTAAATGGGAAATGAAACACAATTATTCATTAATAGTCTGTTCTGATTTTTTTAACATAACAACAAGCGGTCATTTCTCCAAAACTGATATTTCACTTTTTTGGTAGATGGAGAGTTAAAGTTTCCTTTAGGCAATCTGGTGGTGGGATCACCTGAGCCCCCAGGCCTTCTGAAGAATGCAGCAGGAGGATTTGGGATCCTGGAGTTCTGAGGGGACAGAAGGAGCCAGGGGGGTCCCCATCCACCCAGATTTCACCTGTCTGAAATATGACATCTGCATTGACTAACCCTTTAAGGACTTCCCAAATTTAACTCCTTCACGCCTGAGGCTATTCTGCACCATTTTTAACCAATATATGTATAAACAAAAACATGTAAATTGTCTGAGGACAGATGTCTTTCATACAGTAAGTTTATCATTCAGGAAACACTGAAATACAATCTGAAAAAAAACGTATCTTCTTATCTCCTTCAATTTCTCCTACTAAATTTTGTAAATAGTATTTTATTGCTGGCCAGATACAATACCAAAACAAATGTATCCTGATTGGAGGAATACCAAAACGTGTATAAATACTGTACATTTGTCACATTTTGCATGACTTGGTCTCGAAATCAGTATCATCTTTACACTTTTCAAAGTGTATTTACATTTTTTTAGGCCCTTTGCACATATGGAAAATTGTACACTGCAAAATCACTTTACAGTGACACTAAACTCAGGAGTTAAATCTTAAAAATGCATTCAAGTACCTTAACTATTAACAGAAATGTATCTTATTTGTGTATCACTCGGCTGTAGATCCTCAAATCATCTCTGAATTGGTGCCGACACTGTCCTTCCTTCTGGAGGGTGGCTACTTATGTTCCCCATGGTCCCTGTGTTTGCTGTAAAGTAGTCACAGCTCCAAGCTCGCTCTTGTGATAGACTACAGTCTCAGTACAAATTAGTAAACAAAACATGAGATTGTAGTCCATCGCTGGAGTGATCTTGGAGCTGTGACTACTTTACAACACACACACAGGGACCATGGGGAACAAAAGTAGCCACCCTCCAGAAGGAAGGACAGTGTCAGCACCAATTCAGAGATGATTTGAGGAGCTACAGCCGAGTGATACACAAATAAGATACATTTTTTTGTTAATAGTCAAGCTACTTGAATGCATTTTTAAGAATGAACTCCTGAGTTTAGCGTCACTTTCAGTTCCAGAAAATACACTCAGTTTACAATAGTGGACACCCACTTTTGAATACCAATATGTAGTCTTTTCAACAACTGTATGAGTGAATTCTTGTTTTTTTAGGGAAAGGGTGCCAATGAATGCAAAAACATTTCTGTCTTGTACATAAAGCCCACATATGTGTGTTATTAATGGCCAGACAGTCTCCTAAGGCCCAATATGATGAAGCATATTTTCCAAAGCTGGTGTTCGGACTCCATACTTTATTTTACAAGGCCCAGCAGTGTCAGTACATTTGAAAAGCTCCGAAAATCTATCTAGAAAATGATATTCCTAACATATTTACCAAGCGGTAGACATTACATTTTAGATTATTTCTTTTATGGCTTAGTTCCAATTAAAGGGGGAAAAAAACAAAAAACACATTGCTGTAACCTTTAGGCCTCCTGTACACGGCATTCAAAGCTGCGGCTGGGATTCCTGCGGCAAGAACGTATGGATTATTTTGGCAAGAATCCCAGGTAGGTCCGTACAGATTCGGCTACTGTGCCCATTCAAGTTAATGAGAGGCTGACAGCGGCTGCATCTGTTCGTGGCTGTCCACATGTAATTTGTATATGGAACAATCCCTCAGAGAGAGATTTCAGGCAAGACCTACTGACTGTGAAGGAATCCTAAATCAGCAGTAAGATTTCACAGCTAGCATTGAGGTGTGTGTGAATAGGAATGAGGATAGGGGCCGGGTCAAGTCTCTCCAATGGAAGAGCATAGAATGGAAATGCTCTGCATCCCTGCCCCTTCTCATTTCTCTGCAATTAAGGGTAACCTATTAAAAGGCCTCGGTGTTGTTACATGTCATTGTTACGGTCAAGCTATCCAATGCAGGCATGGTCCAAAGGCTCAGGATAGGGTTTCATTGACACTTACCGGCAGTATGGATTTCGTCTGGAAGTGTAACGCAGTGTCAGGAATCTATAGTAAATGAATGGCTGTAATAGGCTCCCTTGACCACTGGAAAAGAAAACCATAGATACCGTTAAAGGGGTGCAGAATGGCTTTTTATACATTGTCTTTAGTTCCACAACAAGAAAAAACATTTTGTATATATTTTAATCCAGTAAATATACATCATGTGACTATTTCATGTTTTCCACTTGCAGCCAGCAGGTCATACATTCTAACAGCACCAGCTTTCTGGGTTCATTTAACAGCTGCCATGATGAAACAGCCCTAAACCGCAAGGACATGAGATTGTACAGATCTGCAAAGGATTATGAAATGTTTTATCATCATTATTATTGTAAACATTTAAGTCAGGACTCTTCTATGCTACAGTGTGTGAAATGCATAACAAGATAGCATAGCTCTGCACTTGATAGCTGCTCCTGCTAGAAGTGGAGGGCTGGATCCGCCATCCTCATCATTTAGATGACCCATTCATCTGTGTGTGCACAACCTGGGATTATGCTATAAGGTCTGTACTCCAAGCACAGCAGTAAGCCAGTGAACTAAACCCCTGAAGTAACATATACACACACTCACCATCTGCTGGCTGGACAGGGTAAATGTGAAAAATGTATAAAACATAATTTTATATTCATCTGGCTAAAAATAATTTTATATTCATCTGGCTAAAAATAATGTAAATGTACTCCTGTGACCCAAAAGAGAATGAAAGCCAAAAAAAAGGTTTGA